ATGTACTCAAGTACCCAGAGTTTCTTTCTTTTACCTCCTGATGTTCAAGAACCTTGAAAAAACAAACAAAAATGCTGCAGATAGAGTATACTGACTCAAATGAGAAATCTGTTTTCTCTTCCTGAAACGTGTTTCACTGAACACAATATGAGGGGAAAAGTGTGTATCTTTTATATTTGTATTTACTACTGACGATAGCAAATAACTCTTGATTTTCTTTCCTTCTGATTGTAACTCTGTTTTCTTGCAGTGGACATTTAAAAAATTCCTAACTGCCCAAGAAGTACTGAGCATGGAAGAAAGAATACCCACTCAATGTGCCCTAAAGTGCAGCTCTGTCAGTCCAGAGATAGGCACCAAAATTTATGACAAAAGAATGAAGGTAATATTTCAGTGTTTTCAGCACAGATATGCCAAGAGCCTTGTATTTAGGGCCATATTTCCAATTTAAGAAGTTAGTTTTTATTTATTCAAAAATTATGATGCAACACCAATTAAATAATGAAAGACCTCTTCATTTATGGACACTATCCAGCCAATGCCAGAAAATTCTTGCAGCTCACAATGCTTGATTCTAGGTTGTGACTTTGGACTTCAGTTGGTTATGTCATCACTTGAGCATTATTTAAATATGCTTATCCTTTTAATTCAATTTCCTGTTTTGTTTTCTCAAAACCATAAATCATCTCTTAAGAAATTCTGCAAAATGCATATTGTTCTCCCGTGAGACCTGTGCTGCTCCTCAGCTGGGCATCGCCTGCCAAAGGACATTTTTTTAAAAATTTTCCTTTTATTGGTTTTGCATAATGGTTGCAACCATTCTCAAGTAATGAAAAAAGAATGAAGAATGTATGTCCTTTCCAGCACATAGCCACAATGTTAATGTTAAGGCGAAGCAAAACAAAACAAAAGAAAACCCACCCTAAAAGTGGTCTTGGACACCCAGCCCTCCTCTCAGCTCCCTTATTTGGACTCAAGATGTTTCCTATCTTTTCTCCTCTTTTTCAAAATAAACTATTTATGTTAGAAGAAAATCTGTTATCTAGGACATCTGTGATAATGTTCTTGTGGTCTGGGTTGGACTCTTCCTCCACTACCAACTAGTGTAAAACTAATGGGGACACGACTTAACCTTTCTGGGCCTATATTTGTCTCATTTGTAAACCAGGAATAATGGAGGTTACTTCACTATATTTTTTTGAAGATTAAATAAGAGAAGGCATGTAATTGTGCCTCACACAGTGTGAATTGAAGCTATATATATTAATAAATCTACTGTCTAAGAATAAAAACACCATTCTCTGCCTCCATTGCATAGCTGATAGACAATGTATATAAATTAAACTGAGTCTTAACTCATTTTGGTATCTACAGTAGCACATAAGAGACATTAATAGTCTATAGACAATAGTCTGCTGAATTTTTTATTGTCAACACATGTAATATTGTATATAGCAGCCTATTGTATAAGTCAGTAAACTACAGCCTATGGGCCAAATTTGGACTACTGTCTATTTTTATAAATGAAGTTCTATTATGACAGAGCCATACCCATTTATTTAAGCATTGTTGATGCAGTTTTAGTACTACAATGGAGTTAAGTATTTTCAACAGAGACCATTTTATTGCCCACAAAGCCAAAAAAGTTACTATCTGATCTTGGCCCTTCACAGAAAAATTTGCCAAACTTTTACCTACAGGATTGAGTTACCTGTTTACTCCTGCCTCAGGACAGGGTTTCCTAAAGAACTCCTTAGTTCAGGTGTTATGAACTTCTTTGGGGAATATGTTTTAATGTAATTGCTTCATTTTCCCCCAGATGATGTTGGTGGACTGCTTTTTTAAAAAAAGAAGAAAAAGAAACTGATTCTATTAAAAATAAAAAAGAATGGGTGCTTATGAGGTACAGAGACACGCTACTAGCCACATTGGGAACTTTAAAATCAGTAAATGATACTATAATGGAGCCAATGAATGAGGGGCTCTGGTCTCAGCCCCTCCATGCTGACTTTCAGTATAATGGCAGCAGTGGTGTCACTACACGCTGATGAAGGAATACTACAGCTTTTGTTTTCATCTCCAGCCTTTCCCTGAGTCTGTGTGCCTACTTTAGTCTCATGAATAATGCTACCACTTACAGAGACTGGACACCCATGTGACAAAAACAGACAGATTCATGGAAACATGGATTGGAGACTAGTTCCATTATTCATTCTACACCATGGTTAACAACCCTGCTTTTGCAGAATATTATATACATGTGCCCACAATTCTCCACGGTCACAGAATAGGTGCTGTAGCACATTGTGCAGCTGTGGTTTGCTGACCCTAAGGGGAACTAAAGTAATTAATAATTGACTTGGGGTTCTCTCTTCTCTATCTGGCAGCTACTCACACTGTACTTACTGCACAAAGGAGGCCAAATTGGCATGGCTTTCGACTATCTCTGCAAAATCCATTTGGATCCATTTCTACAACTGTGATCTAGTATCAACATGGGGGGCAAAGGAGAAATCAGCCCCAGGAGCGTGGAAACCACTATACTTAAAACTATATCCTTTGCTTATTTATTTCAAGTAAAAGGCCACACAGACACAGAAAATTAGAAGGCTCGTGAAATGAGATTTAAGTTCCATTCTGGTTACAGGGTCCTCCGTGATGTTCAATCCTAGAGGTTCTACCTCCCACTCTTCAAGAATTTCCAGCCCTTCCAGTCCCAGGAGAGTTTTCCATGTTGAAAGATTGCAGGATGGGACCCCATAACAATCCCCCAGAAGTTCAGGTTGAAATTACAAGCAGGCCAAGTCTGCATGGTGCACTCCTCTGTAATTGTTGGGTCTCTTCCAGACGGCTCTCAACACATGGGACTCCAATGAAGTTCAGCATGTGGAAAGGGCTGAAGCTTGAAGCCTGTGTATTTGTAATGGAAACACAGCAGTGACCCCATGATCCAGGTCTGTATCTGTGCTGCCATAAAATGTGTTTCTCTAAACAGAGCAGCAGGAGTGCCAGTGATGGGTGGGAGCAGGGAGGTTCTGGAAAGACTCCCTCAGGTAGGGAGGTAGCAGGGCCTCCTAATAAAAACTGTGCACTTAGGGAGTGCTATGTAGTTTGCAAAGTACTTTTACATTTAAGATTCTCAGGATAAGCCTCTGAAGTGCGTAAGACAAGCATTCTTTTCCTTCTTCAACACATAAAGCAACTGAAACAGAAAAGCCAGATGATTTTCTCAAGTTTTATTAGAGACTTTGCCAGAATCAGATCTAACATCCTTTGACATCCAGCTCAATATTGATCTATGTTCCTATGTGACTATCTAAACTGTGATAAATATTCTAACACAGTATCAAAAATGAGTAGCTATCATTAGAAAAGAGAATTCACCATAAATCAAGCTTGCCTTTGATATGGTTAAGCTTTGTTTCTTCACCCAAATCTCATCTTGAATGGTAATTCCCATAATCCCCAAGTGTTGAGGAAGGAACCTAGTGGGAGGTGATTGTATCATGGGGGTGATTTCCTCCATGCTGTTTTTGTGACAGTAAGTCTCATGAGATCCGATGGTTTTATACGTGTTCGACACTTCTTCCTTTACTCATTCTTCTCTCTCCTGCTGCCTTGTGAAGATGGTGCCTGCTTTCCCTTTCTCCATGATTGTAAGTTTCCCAAGGCCTCCCCAGCCATGAGAAACAATGAATCAATTAAACCTCTTTCCTTTATAAATTACCCAGCCTTGTATAGTATCTTAAGAGCAGTGTGAAATCAGACTTACATAGAAAATTTGTACTGAGGTAGTGGGACACTGCTATAAAGATACTTGAATATGTGGAAGGGACTCTGGAACTGGGTAACAAGCAGATGTTGCAACGTTTGGAGGGCTCAGAAGAAGACAGGAAGATGTGGGAAAGTTTGGTACGTCCTAGAGACTTGTTTTAATGGTTTTGATCAAAATGTTGATAGTGATGTGGACAATAAAGTCCAGGCTGAGGTGGTATCACATGTAAATAAAAAACTTATTAGCAACTGGAGCAAAGGTCATTCTTGCTATACTTTAGCAAAGAGAATAGCGGCATTTTGCCCCTGCCCTAGAGATCTATAGAAGTTTAAACTTGAGATGATCTGAAAATGGAACTTATGTTTACAAGGGAAACAGTGCATAAAAGTTAGGGAAACAGAGCACAAAAGTTTGGAAAACTTGTATCCTGAGGATGTGATAGTAAAGAAAAAACAATTTTCTAGGAAGAAATTCAAGCCAGCTGCAGAAATTTGCATAAGTAATAAAGAGCTGAATGTTAATCACCAAGACAATGAGGAAAATGGCTCCACAGCATTTCAGAGAGCTAGGTGGCAGCCCCTCCCATCACAGGCCCAGAGGCCTAAGAGGAAAAATGGTTTTGTGGGCCAGGCCCAGAGAACTGGCTGCTATGTACAGCCTCTGGACTTGGTGCTATGTGTCCCAGCCATGGAGAAAAGGGGTTAAGTTACAGCTCGGGCCATTGCTTCAGAGGGTGCAAGCCCCAAACTTTGGGGGACTCCACATGGTATTGGGCCTGTGGGTGAACAGAAGGCAAGAACTGAGGTTTGGGAACCTCCACCTAGATTTCAGAAGCTGTATGGAAATGCCTGGATGTCTGGGCAGAGGTGTGCTGCAGGGGCAGAGCCTCCATGGAGAACCTCTTCTAGGGCAGTGTGAAGGGGATATGTGGGGTTGGAACCCCACAGTGGCCCTCTTCTCACAGGTCCATTAGGCAGTGCCCCAGTGGGGACCGGACCTGTGAGAAGAGGGCCACTGTCTTCTAGATCGCAGAATGATAGGTCCATTGTCAGGTTGCACTGTTCACCTGAAAAGCCACAGACAGTCAATGCCAGCCTGTGAAGAAGCTGCCCAAAGCCGTGGGAGCCTAGCTGTTGCATCAGTGTGCCCCAGCTGTGAGACACAGACTCAAAGGAGATCATTTTGGAGCTTTAAGATTTAATGACTGCCACACTGAGTTTTGGAATTATATGAGGCCTATAGCCTTTTTGTTCTGGCCAATTTTTCCCATTTGGAATAAGAGCATTTACCCAATGTCAGTACCCCCATTTTATCTTGAAAGCAATTAACTTGCTTTTGATTTTAAGGCTCATAGGAAGAAGGGACTTGCCTTGTCTCAGATAAGACTTTAGACTTGGACTTTCAGATTAATGCTGGGATGAATTAAGACTTAGAGAGACTGCTGGGAAGGCATACTTGGTTTTGAAATGTGAAAGGGACGTGAGATTTGGGAGATGCCAGGGGCAGAATGATAGGGTTAGGCTTTGTGTTCCCACCAAAATCACATCTTGAATTGTAATTCCCATAATCCCCAGGTGTTGAAGGAGGACCCTGGTGGGAGGTGATTCAATCATGGGGTCAGTTTTCCCCATGCTGTTCTTATGATAGTGAGTGAGTTCTCAGAAGATCTGATGGTTTTATAAGTGTTTGGCAAGTTTCTCCTTCACTCATTCTTCTTTCTCCTGCTGCCTTGTGAAGAAGGTGCCTGTTTCCCTTTCCACCATGACTGAAAGTTTCCTGAGGCCTCCCCAGCCATGCAGGACTGTGAGTCAATTAAACTTCTTTCCTCTATAAATTACCCAGTCTCAGAGAGTATCTTTATAGCAATGTGAAAATGGACTAATACACCCTTCCCACTCAAACCCAATCTCAAACAAAGAAAATCTGTTTGGAGATGCAGATGCATTGCATTGTTTTTAAAATTGAGAATTGGGACCCATGAATAGGCCATGACATCACAACTCATGATGACAGTAAGAGGAGTACAGATAATACTTGTCAGTCTCAAGGATTATATTAATAAATACCTTGAAAACACAAAACTTCTTTCAGGCAATATAATCTAGTATAATTAAATGTTTTAAATGGGCCATTCAAACTTTGTATGGGAATAATTTTATATTTACTGATGAGTCCCAAACAGAGCTAATTGGGCATTGCTAACAAGAAGTTCTGCCATAGCCATCAGTCAGGGTTCAAAAAGCTGTGAGTTGCCTAAGAGGACTCACACACTTCCATTAAGACATCAGTGAGTAGGATAAAGTTTACACTAAAAGTGAAGCCCAAGATGAAGGTTATTTGGTTAGAGACACAGATGTGGCTCTCTTCCTGGCACACAAACCTACAGAGGCCTTCCATCAGTCATGCAAGAAAGTCTTTGAACTTGTTCCTTGTGACTGAGTTCATCAAATGTGCAGTATGTCCCATTGCTAGCTCCTCCCACTGCTCCTAGGCAGCCTATGCCTCACAGTTGTGCTTGGTGCCTCGCCCACCTGTCTCTAATTTCTCTCTGCCCCATCAACCTGCCCCAAAACATTAAAGACACAATTGTAGTGATGCAGACTATATTGTTTCCATGAACATTTATCGAGTGTTTTTGTACTATATGGCCCTAAAAAACAAAGTCTATCCAAATCTCAAGCAAAAGGCATGTGATAGGAGTCAGGCATCAGGGAGATTCATCCTAAATTTAAAGGCTTCAGTAACAGACCCTGGTTCCAGCTTAGCTAGCTGTTTCTGCTACTCTTAGGAGCATTGCCTCCACAGATACTTGCATTAATTAGAGACCAAAAATATAAACATTTTAATTGCTTTTCTTTTTGTACATTTTAGTATGAGTAGAGCTCCAATTCAGGTAATATTCACTAAAAATAAATGACAACTCTTTCAGTCTCTCAATATAAAAGTGATCATGGGCAAAATAAAGCCAAAGTTGTACTATGTTCACCAGAAACTTCTGCTTTGTTTTGTTTTGCTTTTAATTACATGTCGAGGAAAAGAGGGGCCTACATGGCACCACCAGTTTTTAATGATAATTTATTCAAAGTATCTGTCTTCTATGGAAGAATGTCCCAAATTGTTCATTAGAACCACGGTTCATCCAGCTCAAGATCTTGGCATGGAAACTTCATGGAGGAATATGAAGGCTGTCCTCCATGTTGCCACTTTTCAATTGTATGCCATGTATATTAATAAGAGGCATCAAAGACCCTGCCACTCTGTGCAATTGTGTAGGTTGTGCCCTGCATAAGAGGGCCAGGCTGAAGAACACCTTGAGGCTGAAATCTGACCCACACTCAGGAATTCACTTGCCACCCACCTGGAAGAAGAGTAGGTTTTGTTTTGTTAGACCACAGGAGCTGCATGAGCTGACGGGGGCCTGGCCCACCTCTGAGTAAACTCACCATTGAATGCAATGAAATCAGGGAAGCTTATAAAACAGATCAAGGAACTTATTGTGAACCATTTCCTTTGGGAAAATGTTCATAAGTGACATTGTAAAAGAATTAGAGTTAAAGAAATTTAATGATTTAACAAGCAAAGCTTATGAGTTTTACCATCTTTATCATAGATGGCATTAAATGACCATCACCTTCATCAAAGAATGGTAGCTTTTACTTTGTGGTGGCACTGAAAATTATTATTGGATCAATATCTGCAGATTTCCTTCTTCCCAACTTCTCCCCAAAGAAGGATTGTAGATTGCTATGTCATCACTGAGTTGTGGCTAACAAAAAGATTCTCCAGGTAGTTGGTGAGTGGCAGAGTGGAAAGTTGACTCTCTGAGACCTAGTCTCAAAGGATCAGGGATAGAGCAAATATAGAGAACTATTTAAATAAGAACTGTGGTAGCTACTTATAGCTATCACTATGAATATGGAATCTGGGGAAAAGAGAAAAATATTTGGAGTATTTATAGGAAGTTTTTCCATATTGCTCAGAGTAAAACACCTGTCTTTTAAACTATAGGGAAAAAAATCAACATTATTTTTTAAGGCTTTTGTTGAAGTAACTCCATGCAAGGAGGAAGTCATGCAATAATAAGTAGTTATTCTTTAGCATTTGGGACCAATAAGAAGATATCCCAGTACTAAATGCTCATCATCATGACATTTGCAGATTAGCAAGCTTAAAATTTTAAAAAATAAAGCCACAAAAAAATTTGACAAGCATTAGAGAAAGGCTTTCTAAGTACAAAGCAAAAACCATTGAGGAAAACATTCATATATTTAAGAAAAAAAGTAAAATTATGTGTATCTTAAAAACACTACAAGTAAGAAACCAGGGAGGCAATATTTGCAACGTACTTGGTAGACAAAGGGTTGCTATCTGATACATTTAAAAAAGATTTTACATCAACAGGAAAAAGGGGAATTCTTTAATTGAAAAATAGGCAAAGAACACAAAGAAGCAAATTACAAAAGGAAAATAAACATAGGAGTTTAAATTCAACCGTACCAGTATCGCACAATAAGTTCCATATTTGGCTATCAAATTGGCAAAGGCTAAAAACCGAAACGAATTCCCTGTGGTGGAAGATTATGAGGAAGCAGACACTCTTCTACTCTGCTGTTTTATCAGTATTTCTATGTAGAGGATACAACAGTGAATGAGAAAAACAGACCCAGCTCCCATGAAACTCAAGGTCTGTGGGGAAAGCATCACAAACACATAGAAATAAAATAGTCACGGTGGATTTGGGGTGGAGCTATCAGGTAGAGCCCACATACATTACCCAACTCTTCATCTGAACCCTGTGATGTAGATATGGGGTAGAAAGGCCAGAATCCAATCTTTTGGAATGCATGTGGCATACAACATGTGTTTCCATAGTAGGGCTTCTCATTAAAATCATCTCACAGGTGGGGTCAGAGCCAGGATCAGGGAATGGAGGAGCACTTTTTCTCTTTCTCAGCATTGAAAATAAGCAAAGAAACAAACAAGCATAAAGCTATTTCCACTTCTTCTTAAGAAAACTGTAAATATTTATAATGTAATATGAAGATTAATCTGATGTGTCGGATGTTTTTAATTCCATGATCTCAAGCGAATTCTGCTCTTTAAAAATGGCCTTCCTGCCATTTAGAGTACATTTAAGTACTTTTAACTGTCTACATCTTAAGCCATTTACTCTAATTCTGGAATATATTCTAAAAAATAAAAATTAAAGAGAAGTTCAAAGTTTTATGTTCCTCTCAGTATTGTTTGTAATAGAAAAATTACAATTAGAATATTCTAATACTCTACAACAACTTGAAAATTATTTAATAAAAGACTACTAGAAATAGTTATTTTTTATTATTTATTTAGAGAAGGAATCTTGCTCTGTCACCCAGGTTGGAGTGTAGCGGCGTGATCTCAGCTCACTGCGACCTCCACCTCCCAGGTTTAAGCAATTCTCCTGGCTCAGCCTCCCAAGTAGCTGGGACTACAGGCATATGCTGCCATGCCCAGCCAATTTTTTTTTTTTTAAGTTTTAGCAGAGACAGGGTTTCATTGTGTTGCCCAGGCTAGTCTGAATTCCTGAGCTCAGGCAATCCACCCTCCTTGACCTCCCAAAGTGCTAGGATTACAGGTGTGAGTCATTGCACCTGGCCAAAATAGTCAATATTTTTGTTTGCTAAGATTTTTTTAATGAAGAAAAGTGCTCTGAGCATATTTTACATAAATAAATAGTTTATAAATTGGTATGTTTACTACATCCAAATAGTTTTAAGATATATAGACATAGATACAGATGAGAAAGACCAAATGCATGCATTAAAATGTTAATAGTCATTTCTGTGGGTGGGGGAAATGCAAATATTTTGGCTCATATTTTGAAATTTTCTATACTTTCTAAATTTTCTACAGAAATAATTGGGGAGGAAATGTATAATCCTTTCAAGTTTTACTTTTTTGAAGTTATGTATGTCATTTATTTCTCAAAATGATGAGGTACATAAATGATTAAAATTTTTCTTTTTATGATCATGAATCATTAGGAAATCATGGTTAAAATTTTACTCTTTAAAAAATGCTTTTAGTTTCTTGGTAGAAAAGTACAACCTGACTCCAGTGGTATCTGTTATTTTCATTTGGGAAAGATAAAAGAGTACAATTACATCCCAGAACTGTGAGAAACTATCCACATTTCAGTGTGTAAGTGAGCTATTCCCAGGAGTGGTTTTCTGATGCCCCATCCTGTTATTTCCAATGAATATTTCTGATGTTATTTCATATTTCTCAAAGGATTTTCAAAATCTATGCGCCATCTTTTGCCTCACACACTCTTTAATCTTTCATATGTAATCTGTTGGAAGTTCTCCTTGATGCTTATTTCCAAACTGATGTGGTTATTTTGAATGTCTTTTGGAATGTTTAAATTACATTTTAAATTTAATTCTTTTTAATGACAAAATTGATTTCTGATCAATGTGGAAAAGTTAGAAAACACAGGT